TCGGTCAAATATGACCAATCTGTCATATTTGTCAACTAAATCAGATGATCGCCGCAGTTACAGATCACGGCTTCAACATGTAAATAAAATTCGTTAAAATTCTGAATGATTTATAGATGATAGTTTAAAATTTAATACTGTGATCTTATTGTTACATAACAGATCGTATTGAGGCGCAAGGATTAACGATATTTCGATATAGTAAGATATTATAAAATGTTGCCTGCATAAGTCGTTGCTTTTGAAATATCATAAACTTCTTTAAATTTATCCAAAAAAATTGAATTTTATTTCTTAATTGTAAATCGAATTTTAATATTTTTACTTTGATCTATAACCGTAATTTTATTATCTATGAATGTAATTTTATTACCTCAATTAAAATTATAAAAAAGTTAAGTCAAATCAAAAAATTAGATAAAATTTTTTATAGGGTACTTCCTAAACTACTAAAAATTAGTTTCGATTAAATAAAACTAGTTTCGGTAGTTTCGGCTATTAATTAAACTAGTTTTGACACTTTGCTAAACTAGTTTGGTAAGTCTATATACATTAAATGTTGAAATTTCTACAAAGCAAAATTAAATTAAAATTTTATCAGTTTCATAAGAACATGTTTTATTAATATTTTTCTACGAAATTCTGTTGAATTAGTATCGTAAACTTTTATATATTCAGAAATTTTGCCAAAAAAAAAAAATATCGATAAAACAATTTCGCAAAATTAAAATTCATAATTATTCGAGCGAAAGAAAGGTTGTTACTATTCTAAGAATCAAATTTTCTAATTATCTAAAGTGAAATTGACAAATATTATATTGACTCGTAAGTAATACATACATTTTCATTAAAAAGGAAGAATATGATAGTTATTATGAATTCTTCTGTCAAAACATTCTGATTCGCAAGGATTATTGAGGCAAATTTCATTTCCGCAAGATGTGAAAGTTGGATATTCCGTTGTACGTTTTTTTTAGTTGTAAAATTTACCAATTTTTGTAATTCTTTATCAGTAAAATTTGATCAAGTCGTATTCACAAGGCAAGGAATACTACTACGCCGCGGCGATCCAAATTCAGTCGCAGTTAAATTCGTTAATTGAAAACTTGGCGTTAAATATCTAATAATTTCCTGTCTTCTTTTTTTGGTAATCTGTTATAAGTTTTCAATAACTTCTTCAATTCTATGAACATTGGCAGAAAATAATTTAACTCAACTACAAAACTTTTAGAGCTTGGAACCGGCAAAAATCTTTATTATTATTTAGGAATTGACTTTTCGTATATGCACTCATACGTGAGTTTTGCTCATAATCCTTGGATTAGTAAACGGTTATTTTTTTTTTTTAAAAAAAAAGGAAAGGATTTAATGCTTAGGTTTTTGTGTGCAAAAAAAAGAAAGATGTATTCGATGAATAAACATTTCTGTCAAAATATAACATAGTTTTATAAGAAAATATAATATATGGGGATCATTTCATTGGGTTATTAATATACAAAACAAATACCCCGAACATGAATATATTAAAGATCTTAGTTTTAGTTATTCAAATGCAAACCGAAACTTAAAAAAAGTACAAAATATCTTATAAAGAGCCAAAATATTTGATTTGGGATTCATTTATTTAATTATTTTAATGAATATATGATTAAAAGAGAAAATTAAACATCGATTTTGCCAAAAAAAAAAATATCGATAAAACAATTTCGCAAAATTAAAATTCTATGATTATTCGAGCGAGAAGAAAAGTAGTTTACTATTCTAAGGATTAATTTTTCTAATTATATAAAGTGAAATTTGACAAATCATATTCTGATTCGTAAGTAAATTCTTCATTATCATTTTCATTAAAAAAGGTAGAATATGGATAGTTATGATGAATTGTAAATAATTCTTCTAAAGTGAAATCTGTCAAACATATTCTGATTCGCAAGGATTATTGAGAGGCAAATTTTCATTTCCGCATTTATTAAGAGATGTGGTAGTTTGATATTCTTCATCGTTGAAATTTTTAGTTGTAAAATTTACCAACTTTTGTAATTCTTCATTTGTAAAATTTGACAAGTCGTATTCTAATTCACAAGGAATATTACTTAGTGTGAATTGCGTGTTATATAATGAGAAATTTTCAGTTCTTTTTTTAATATAAAATTTATCAACTATTTCTTTAATTCTATTAACTTTACTAGAGATTAGCCTGACATGATCATTAGTTTCATTGCACGTGTGGCAAAATTTCAGAGGTTCGCAAGGAAATTTATTGTGAATGAATTTTTCATTATTGGTATCATTAAAAGATGTAGCATTTTGATATTTATAGTCATTGAAACTTTCTGTTGCAAAGATCGACAATTTTGCTAATTCTTCCAAAGTGAAATTTGATGTCATATTCAATTTCGCATAAAACTTCATTGATAGTAAATTTAGCATTGAATATAGAAAACTTTTCGGTCTTCTTCTTTGGAGGGTTTTTATTTTTATAATAATTATCAACAACTTCCTCAATTCTTTGGAGTTTCGCAGAAAATAATTTAACACAATTATTTGTCTCCTTACAATCGGGACAAAGCTTTGGAGGTTTCTTTTTGGTTAGTGTATTATTATTAAGGAGGTTCAACTTTCGTACATATGCACCCATACGTGAGTTTTGCTCAAAGTTTTTGGAATTAGTGAACATTGTTATTTTTTTTTTTTAAAAAAAAGGAACGGATTTAAAGTTTATAAAAAGGAACGATGAATTCGATGAATAAAACATCTGCCAATTTATAACACAGATTTATAAGAAAATAATATAGTAAAATTGCTCATCGTATGTGATTCATTTGATTGGGTTATTAAGATTCAAAACAATTACATTTGATATCATATTGTTTAAATATTTGGTTTGGCGTTTATTTTATTAACTATTTATTTAAATTATTTTAATACTGAAATCCATTTTTTTCTTATTGGGCTGAATTTAACAGGATATGATCAGATATGTCATAAAAAAAAAACGCCATGAATATATTATATTTGTACTTACGCGTCAAACCCTGCATATTTGTTGATGTTCATTGTTATTAGGTTGGTTATCTATTCCTTAATTCAACTTATATTATAACTAGGATGAATATTTTTAGTATAACAGATGTATTTGTATTTATGATTTAAAAAAAAGTAAAGAAAGTGTGCAAGTATAATTATTACTTTAAATATTTCTATCTAGAATGTAAATATTTTGATGCGATCATTTCATCTAGAAATAGGTAAATCTTACTAAATTTATTCGTTAAAATAAATTAACTAAAAAAATTATATATTTCCTAATCTTCATTAATATACTGAACATAAGAACAAGCTGACTCGTACAACAGTCCTAAACATGTTTTTTATTTATTCGATTATTATAATAGCAACGGATATAGTTAATTTAATTCTGTCACGCGTTATTACAATATCTTCTTTTTTTTTAAATCAACATTCGCGAATCTATCTAATAATTCATCGTATTTTTTATGGAGACACGGATCGGAACTGATCGTCAACATATGCATAAAATTTAATAATGTATTCGCTCGCTGAAGTCCGGTCTCGTTCATATCTTTAAGAATACAGGTTTTTAATTTATTACATTAAATGCTATAATTAACTTATCCGACGATTACACAACTTTCTTATAATTCCAGAAAATACTTAATTTCATTATGAAAAAATAAGGTTAATCGGTTCCTATTTTGGGTAAATTGATTAAAAAATCTTTATATTAATGTTAGGACCTTTCTATAATAGTTGATACATTTCAGCGGAAAAAAGCCGATTATATTATAACTAATTGGTTCAATTATCAATGATCATGTAGTGTTAAGTAAAAATTTATTCTTTAAGAAAAATCGGTGCACTACATATAATCCTGTATTGAGCGGAATTCGATGAGCAAAAGTTGTTTTGATTGACTTTACTTCGACCGAGTTCAAGATTTAATTAACCAATGCAGGTGAATTTCTTCTTTTTTTCATTTATATACATACTGTTCAATTCTTTCTATCGATTATATTAGTTAAATATTCGGATTATTAAATGGTCATGAAAAAAAGGTGATGTTCGAATATAATGATTATCCTGTAAGGAATTAATTATATTGATTGCACATTATAAATTTGTTATACAGAATTTTGTGTAATAAAATGTAATACATTTACGCTTTTATTTCTTAGCTCTATTTGTCTATAAATTATTAGAGCCAATCATGAACCCTTATCAAGGCCGACTTATAAAATTCACATCATCTAACTAAACAACTGTTTCCCATAAGTAATGTGTATGCTCCACAAAATAATTTAATCTTACACTGATACTGGGTTAAATCCAATATTTTTAATAACCTCAATTCCTGAAAATTGACTGCGCCTAATTTAATCGTTCTGACAGTTCTGCAAATCTGACGTCATTTCGGTGGGTGAAATCCGAAGGTCATAATTCCGAATGACCATAATCCTGAATATTATTACTTACAACGCCTCATTGAATGAGCAGATAATTTTAAGAAATACTAAGTAGTATTGCTTATAATTTTTAACAAAAATTTTATCGTGACCTCTTTTTAAAATACTTTTTTTGCCAACCATCGCTTTCATATATTTTGCCAATAAAAATGGACTAAATTGTACGATGTATTATCCTATCGATAGAAAGGTTAATAAAATTTAATATGATGCATTAATTATAAAAACTATTACCTTTGTGCATTCGGAATTATGATCATTCGGTATTAATATAACGTCATGCACAGTACGATGGTACGGACCTCTTGTTTAATTCGTAACCTACCGCATCGATAGTTATAAAGAGTACCTAATATAGGACAAGATTATTTCGTGTTGTCAGTTGAATAAACGCAAGCGAACTTTTTGTAGTAGTATTTTAAATATTAATCGTTTGATTAAATAGCATAATGAACAACCGAATATAATCAAAAAATATTTTATTGGACGAATACATCAGATTACCATACTAAATTTTTTTTTGTCATAGTACGTAAGGGATTGGTCTGAATAACCTAAAATTGAAATCCTAGAAACCCGAATACGAAATCTCGAATGATACTTAATCCGGAGTTTGTAATATTGAACATCTTGATAATTCGAAAGAAATAACGAAAAACCGAAAGTAATGATATCCCGATTATCATCTAATCCCGAAAGTACAAAATCTTGAAACCTAAAAATTTTATAACCAAAAAAACCAAAAAAGCTGATATATGTTTAGTTTAATGAAATGCAACTAGTAAACTTTCAAATGTATATAAGCGTTAGTTTTATTTATAAAAAGATTATTTATATCGTTATACGAATTCACGTCCCCGAGATTTATTATGAAATAGTAAATTCGAAAATGTAATTTTGGCGGCATATTCAGTTATATCATTTCGGAAAGCTTGTATTGTTCGATAAAACGTTATCAATGGGATTTCGCTATTTCGGTAAAAGGCGTGAAATTCGGGAAATAATAAATTCGAAAATGTGAAGCTTATTTGAATTAATATTGATCAAAGGATTCTATTTTCATATACCCCTTCGAATCATATGCGGGTCATGGGTTAATAATAAATATAGACACCAAGCCTGACCGAGTCGGTCGGAATTATTGTCTAATCATTCTATTTTCTTGAATTTGTTAAAATTATATTTTTATTTTTTAAGTGATTGACATTTGCCCAAGTTCGTAAAACATTGCATTGCTTTCGTTTTACGCTTGACGTACGAAAATTTAGAGGTAACAGTATTTATATACAGTGATGTGCAAAAATGACAATTGTTATATATTCTATTATTGCACCAATAAAAATACAATACATTATTTTAAAACTAAGAAGTAATAGATTTTGCTTAAACAATATTAAATAATGGATATTTTTTTTCATTTTTCAATTAAAAATTAACAAGATTTTTTAGCCCATTCCTTTTAATAATTATCCAATGATTTCAATGAGTTTTTTGGATTATTAAAAGACCAATTTATAACCTTTTTATTATTTACAAAAATTACTAAATATATTACTAAATTACTTAGTAATATATCTAAAATCTTAGGATAATTAACATTTTTTACGTTTAATATTCAATTTATTTAAGGTTAAATGAAGGTTTTATGTGAAATCTTTATTAATTAGAATATTTTAGCAGCATTGGATGATTCCTGGTTTTGGAAGTATAATCTTAAGTTTTTTTGACTAAGGGCACCTTTCTCAATGTGATTGGCTGATTGGCTAGTGATTGAGGTGATGCTCAAGCTTTACGATCAATTGAAATATAAATTTCTATCAATTTCATTTCAATAAGAATAAAGAAAAAATACCAAATAGCTCGTTGTACTTTAGCTCCGGCTCCTTTTATTAATTTAACAAGTAATTTATCATTCTTCTGCTACATAAAAAGTAGTGTTGTACCATTAATAAAATTTTTTAGCCAATCAGCGCAGCTCTATCAAAAAAAAAAGTGTTTTGGCTCCCGATATTATTGACTTTAATAATAATATGTTTTAATTTTTTTTAGCCAATAAGATCATTTATAAACCCATGCTTAAGAACGCCTAAATGCCTAAATGAATTATTTTAAAGCTCAATTAAGTATAGGATTTATTTATGCACAGTACTAAAATTGGAGTTACAACGATCTACCGCAGTAAGAATTGTCATCTTTTTTGCGCAACACTGTATATATTAAGTTTATTACAAATCATTTCGCAATATCAAGCTTTACAATTCAATAGTATTTTATTTTCCTTACACGGAGTTCAAAACAGATGATAAATAATTAAATGGTCTCAAAGGAAATTAACAAAGACTCTCCATCCAAGTAGATAAACAAATGTTTTCTTTTTTAACAAATTATTAATAACACATTGGCTCTAACGAAATATTTTTTTAATTTCGTCATTTACATGACGGTATTAATATTTTTTTTTTTGTAACTAATTGATTAATCTTGTGTATTAATTGCATAATTAGTCGGCTATAGATTTAATGTATAATCGATTTGATTATCGTTATCATTTTCTATTTTAAATCATAACTAATTTCAGAAAATAGTTAACTTTATTAGGTAAGTAGATCCAAACGGTTAAAATCATTTCAAGAATCTAGGATTTTATGGAAGGAATTACATCTGGGAAAAATTAAAGCCGAGGGCTGAAAAAAAAAAAAGTTTTTTATTGGCAAATTTCTATGCAAGGAAAAAAATATTAAATAATCAATTAAAGTTATAAAACAACTTTGAAATAACTATCCCGAACAAGTTAGCAAAAAAAAAAAAAATGGTTTTAAAGAACAATATAGAAAAAACCCTAAGAGACTTGGAAACGAGAATCAACGAGTTGGAGCAACGTAACGAAAGTTTACATTCTGAATTCAAATACTTTGAAGATGATGTTAGAGAGCGAGAAGAAGAAACCAAAGCCAATATTAAGGATTTAGAAGAAAAGATTCAAAAACGAGAAGAAGTATCTAAAGAAAAGCAAGGAATTATTAATAAATTAGAAGAGAGGATCAAAAATCTTGAGTCAATTATTTATGATGATACAATTGATAGTTTAACTATTACGGATATTAATATGGATGACATATTGAATACCTTAGGCGGATTGCAAAGATATCGAAAATTGACAAAACTCTGTTGTAGCAATTCTCAAATGACTAGTTTACCAACCTTACCTAATTCTTTATTGGAACTCAATTGCTATAAAACTGAAATAGCAAGCTTACCAACTTTACCAAATTCCTTAGTAGAGCTCAGTTGCTATGAAACTGAAATTACTAGCTTGCCAACATTACCCAACTCCTTATCTCGTCTTGATTGCAAAAAAACTCAGATAACAAGCTTACCAACATTACCTACCACTTTAATGGAGCTCAATTGCTATGAAACTGAAATAACTAGCTTGCCAACATTACCTCACGTCATAATTCGTCTCGATTGCAAAAGAACTCAAATTACTAGTTTACCATATTTACCTGACTCCTTAATAGAACTCTATTGCAATGAAACTGAAATAACTAGTTTACCAATTTTACCGAATTTCTTAACTCGTCTTAACTGCAGCTGTACTTCAATAACTAGTTTACCAACTTTACCAAACTCCTTAACGAAACTCAATTGTTATGTAACGCAAATAACTAGTTTACCAACCTTACCAAACTCCTTAACGGAACTCAATTGCTATGAAACTGAAATAACTAGTTTACCAACTTTACCTAACTCTTTAAAGAATCTTGACTGCTCAAATAATCAAATAACAAAATTACCAACTTTACCTCACTCCTTAACGAAGCTCAATTGTTATGAAACTCAAATAACTAGTCTGCCCAATTTACCTAATTCCTTAAAAAATCTCTATTGCTATGAAACTCAAATATCTAGCTTACCAATTTTGCCTAAATCATTAACCCATCTTGACTGTAGCAATTCTCGAATAATTAGCTTACCAACCTTACCTAACTCCTTAAAAGAGCTTAGTTGCAATAATACTCCAATAACTAGATTAGACACTTTACCTAAATCCTTAACAAAACTCAATTGTTATGAAACTCAAATAACAAGTTTACCAAATTTACCTAACCACTTAACGGAGCTTTATTGCTACGAAACTCAAATAACCAGCTTACCAAATTTACCTAACTCCTTAATGGAACTCTCATGTTTTGGAACACAAATATCCACTTTACCAACCTTACCAGATTCCTTAACTTATCTTAACTGTGACAGAACACGAATAATAATTTTACCAACTTTACCTAATTCCCTAACAATACTTTCGTGCTCTCAAACTAAAATAGCTAGTTTGCCTAACTTATCTAACTCCTTAACGAAACTCATTTGTTATGAAACTCAATTAACTAGTTTACCAACTTTACCTAACTCCTTAACTCATCTTGACTGCGAAAAATCTCAAATATCTAGCTTGCCAAATTTACCTGATTACTTAACGATTATCTATCCTAATTATTTAAAAACCATTACCCAATCAACTTTAAACGATTCAACAATTTAGCAGTTTGTTTACTATTTGTTCTTGAATAAGGGTTTTTTTTTTATTAAAAATACAGTCTTTCTAAGAAAATTGAGCTTTTTGATTATGTCTTGTCATTATAAATAAATACGGAAAATTATTTAAAATTTAAAGAATTTCAGCGATACAATCTTATAGTGACTTTTTTGTAATAATCTTCAAATTCAATTAATAAATAAATTTTTAGTTTCTTTCAATTATCTTTAACATTTACTTTTGTGAATAAGCAAAAAAAAAATTATATAAATATATGGATATATAATAATTTTCGTGATTGCATAAATTGATTAAAAAATAAATATAATATTTAGAGGTTTGAACCGGATTTATTTTTTATATCCGGATTTATTTATTTTCAAAAATTGGAATCGGATTTAATCCGAATTTATTATATTATATCCGGTTCTTTCGGATTCAATCCGGATTTATTATATCCGAATTTATGTATCCGATAAAGCCCTCAACTGCTAGAATTGCTAGAAAAGGTATACAACTTTCATAATGCTTTGCATGCAAATATATAAATTTTTTAGCTTAACGAAAAAAAAATCTAATGCAATTAATCTGGTTATAACGATAAAAAAATAATACATTTCTTTTCTTTTATTTAGGACACTTTTCAGGCTGCGATACATAAAAAAAGTTTTTTAATAATTTTTTTTATTTATTTTTCATTAAATTTTGTTACTCATTTTTAGGCGATTGAATCACTGCGGGTCGTAGCCATCGAAAGATCGCGCGGTATGTATTTTTTTATTTTCAGTTTTCAATTTTTCAACTTACCTTTTTTTAATTTTCGGTTCGATCGCTTTAAGCAGTACTATTAATATTTAGATGTAATACTTTAACCGGAAGAAATTGAAAAAACTCGCAAAAATTTACAAGAATTAGAAATAAAAAAAAATCTTCACTCAAAGAGAACGATGATAATGAATTAGAAATTTTTTAGTGTCGAATAAACATCATCACTTGTTACGTCCACATAATTCATTAGCGTAGCATTTGTAAATAAATTCAAATTTAAGTTTAGTTTATAATAATAATATAATAAATTAAACTTTACAAACGAAAATAATAATAAAGCATTATTATTTTCGTTTTGGGATTCTAAATTAAGAATTTGCTCATAGACGCAAACTTTTAACCAATATTAATAAATTGTTTTTAGTTAATTGTGACGCGCCTTATATGATTGGTCAAAGATACCGGGGTTTAAATAAAGAAGGATATAATACATCCGGAGGTTTAAATATATTCGGATATAATAAATCCGGTTTTTCTGCTGGACAAATTTTGTATCCGGTTTTAAATCTAAACCGGGGGAAACCGGTTTTAAATCCGAAGGTCGAATTCGGTTCCAACCTCTAATAATATTCATTAATTTCAAAATTATTGGAACGATTGCTAGAAAAAAATTGTTATGAGATAATTATTAATTAATTGTAATCTAAATATTTCAAGAGAATACAAATTAAATGACTATAGAAGTTACAGCCTATAGAAGTTACAGACGATGACTTCAAGTATTAGCACCAACATACTTAGAGAATTTAGCATGTTTAATGGTGCGTTTCTATTGACGAAGCCCAAACAGCTAATGATATTTTTATTTATGATATAATCGCTTAATTTAGTATGTAAGTTGTTCTTTAATTTTTTGCATATTTATAAAAAACTTTCGGATCTTTTAAAGGATAAATACGAAAAAATTGATTCAACTTAAAGTTAATATTTAACTAATAATTTAAATTTGATTAATAAATCTACACAGTAACAGAAAATAATGGTAACCAGCATACAAATATATAATATTTATTAAATTCTAGGCAAAATTATATACTATTTTGGCAAAGTCGAAACTTTTCGAGAATAATATTTACGTATTTTGACGTGTTTCATTAAACTTCGATGGTTTCAAATTTTTTTTTACGATTTGTAAATCAAAATTTCAATTTACTAAATTTCAACGGGTTTTCTGACCTAGCAAAATTCGAATGTAATTCTTTATTAAAAAAAGTTTACATAAAGGTTTCCAGATTTACAAAAGGTTGTATTGTATTAAAATCTACCGAAATTCTATGAGAGTAAATAAAATCATTATTAAAGGTTTAGATAGATGTTTTGCCATCGTCGAAAAATTTGCAACTGTCGAATATTTACCCACCCATCGATACGTTCGATAATAAAGATTTTTACTTGTCATGCATCCTTATCACTGCAAATATTAGCTATACAGATTGTCATTAAATAACACAATGTGGTATGCAATGCAGTAATCTTACGGTGATAAAAGCTTACCAAACACAACATATTTTCCTGAGTGAAACTAGTATCTTACCAGCTTGTCAACTCACTAATAAAGAATATAACAGCATCCTTCTTTGAAACCCGCTTGAAAACCTTTATTGCAATTGTAATAATATGAAGATAGTCTAATGTATTTTCTTTAACGCCTTCCTTTCTGCAGTGATGGCAAATTATGAGGACATTTGCTATTTTTTAAATGACCTAGTTCATTTTGACTTGAAATTTATAATAAAAATAAGGTCATTTGAGGTCATTTCAAAGTCATTTCAAAGTCATTTCAAGGTCATTTGCCTACACTACTTTCTGAAATATTCAACTATATTATTAACCTGAATTTAATAGCAAACGATCTATATCAAAGTCCTCATTAGTCAGGTGCTTTTATCTAGATAGGTAGTATACATGCGTGCATTATTAATACTTCAAGAAATATTATTTTCATATATAGAAATTATTTACTGTACGTGGTATACCACACGAAGCTGGTATGTTTATTTTACAATAATCACACAAGAAAATTTAAAAAACATTATTTTACAATAATTTTCAATAAGATCTTAAAGTAATTTACTTTGTTCCGACTTGTTGCGAGTAATACAATTATTAATAATGACCGTCAATTAAAAATCTTTATGGTGCCTGGCAAGTGTCATTCCAGTAAATCGGATAAGAAATTATGAGTTACCCTCCTTGAAAAAATTGCTAACACTATTCCGCTTCCTCAGGAGCGAAATTATTTCCAGTCATTTTAAAATTAAAAAGCAAACAACAAAGTACTAGGCTGCTTTAAATTTTTAAATACCTCTTGATATAAAAAAGATTTTATATAATGCTAAATTATTGGTTGAAATAATTATCCAAAATTTCTCGTGTTTTGTAGCATCACGGAAATATCAGTATTATCATACTACCATGTAATTTTGTTCAAGCAAACCGTTATTTAATCCTTCGTAATAATAAATTAAATGAATTCCAATATATTTAATAATCTTCATGCAAAAATCTACCTTTTACATTTTAATATCAGAAAACAAATTGTATGATAACTTTAAATTTGAATTTTTTTAAAGGCATAAATAAGGATTAATTCGGCAGAAATTCCTATGAAATAATACTAATTAACCTTTTACAAAATACATAGTAAATGAAAAGGTTACGTTGTAAGAAAGCATTTCAACAATGGATTTTTAAGTGTAAAAAGAAATACTAGCCTTCAAAAGGATCAATTGTTATTATAACTTAAATTGAAAGATTTTAAAGCCAATCTTGCTGAAAATAAAATCATTTGAATTTGGGGTGATTCATGCAATATTCTACCGTATCAAGTCCAAGCGTCTCGTAAATAGAAGCGTGATAAATTATGAGCTGCATTTGCCTGAATAGCAGATTGATATTAAACGCCCACATTCCGACGGTGTATCTATATTTTTTTCGGTTCCTTACAGCGGTATCATTGTTGCAAACTAATGCGCTACCAAAATTGTTGATCTAACAAGAGTTTTTCAAGTGTTTCTCAAACATATTCACCAAAATTCCCTTGTTCTTATCATACATAAGTCACTGAATCTTTGCAAATTTACGAACGGCTATTTAAGAAAAAGTTTTACTCGATCAATCTCACGTGTACGTTAAATTATCTGCCTAGATTACATCTAGTACGTCATTTCTATAGGCGAGGTGACAAATTAATTGATATGGAAAATCTCATTTCTGGCATTTCGTTTCTTAAATTTCAAAATCATGAGCTAAAATTTTGATTTTATCGATTAATAATTAAAAAAAAAATTAGACATATAATAAGCAATATATATTGTATATATTCATTCTCTGAAATTGATCTTTTCAACTTACTCAAATAAAATTTTCGTTCAAGTTGGGAATCGAATTTATAGGGTTAAATTCTTTAAAATTCATAATAAAAATACCTTTTATAAAGTCGTAAGTAAAATATATCTCAAAACATTTCGCAACATTTTGCAACGTTTCGATTGACTTGTCAAAATGACGCAATTAACTTGGAAAGTATTTTTTGAAGAAAATTTATTCAAATTCTGTTTGCATCAAAGGAAATTATCAGCCTTGTATGGATTGAATAATCACCCTGTTAAGGTTAGGTTTCTTTTTGATAAACAAAATTATTAAAGTTCAAATGTTGTACAAAGGGGTACCCGAGATGCATGCCATGAAAATTTATATAAATATTGGACTTTTTCCCTCAAGTCCCTTTTCAATTTAATAAATGTAACGATTTAGTTATTCACCAACCAAATAAATCATGAATTGCTGAATTTTTTTTTTTTTACCATATAATTTGGGTATTTTTATATGGTTTATTTTTTTTAGCCTATTACTGCGCCTCAATGCTAAATTCAAATATTTATTCATCGATTGCAATCTTTATACTGGTAAATAATATATTCGTATACAAATAACTAAGTTTAAAATAATATAATTATTATATCATATTTTTGATTATTAAAACTTTCTAACATATTTTTTTAGTGTTGGTATAATGAATCAGACAAACAACAACATATAAACAACAAAACTTGTGCATGACATGTTCATAATTTCCTTTTTTGACTGTTTAGCTTTATTAAAGTTTGATAAGGGTGAGTCATATATAATAATGATTTTACGAACATTTTTATTTTTATAAAAAAACAAAACTCTTTTCAACCAAACTACTTTTAATACAAACAAAATGTCTACCTTCACAATTCTAGGAAAATCATTTACACTTTGGTGTTTCGATCAAGAAAGTAAAGTCATTTTCAAAGTTATAATTGGTGAAAATAATGATATTTTCGACCTTAAGGAGCTCATCACTAAAAAACTTCCTGGAGATTTGAAAGCTGTACAACTTTTATTATGGAAAGTTGACATTGAATACAATAAAATTAAGAATATCACTCTTGATTGTCTGTTAATTGATAAATTAGAAAATGAGATAGATACCGTTGGAAGAGCTTTTGATGGTATCGCAGAAAGCATCAAAATTCGTGTTATCCTCGAAAAACTCGTAGACACCGGTAAGCTTCGAATCATTATTATTTAATATGTCATTGTAACCTTTACTAACTTTGATCTCTGTAATAAAAATATATTGATTTAGAAAAAGAAAGTAAGTAATAACCTCAGCGATGCTTACTTTCAAATTTTGCTTTCTCTCACTAACATTTCTTCTTTTCTAACTAGATAAGAGCATAAATGAAGGTAAAAACATGCAGTTTTACAATTGATTACTTATTGTTTCTTATTCCTTTTTTTAATAATTTTTCCCATAGAGGAACTCGCTATGCTTGAGTTTTGGAAAGGTCTTTCCAAAGCAAAAATTATTTTCCCCTATATTCAAAATATGTTGTTGGATAATTCTTTCTTTGTAATCAAGAATGAATCGGAGCTGGAATTTAATTTGAGACCAACTGTTAAAGATGAATATAAGGATAACAAATACGTTTATTTGAAAGATGATGTTAATATGCAAATTGATGATTTATTGGAGCAATTTAATTGCGATGGATTTTTATGCTTGCCAAATAAGGTGTTTTTTCTTGGAAATCAATCCTTTGGATCACATCTTCTCATACGTAGTTGTTATTTAGAACTTATTCATGCAATTCCTCTCTTGGAAATTCATAATTTGATCAAATATGGATGCATAATTACTGGCACACCCGGAATCGGAAAGTCATATTTTGGTCTATTTCTTTTATATTACATTCGTCACCACTATCCCGATGCAACAATAATTTGGGAATTGGCGGACAAGGTTGACCAATTGTATGAGTTCTCGTCAAATGGTAATGTACGAAGTGGAAATATAAATATGTTTCGTAATACACTTGCAAGCAAAAAGAACTTTTATCTTGTTGATGCACAAAGACCGATAAACTGTAATGCCTACACCATCTTATTTTCGTCACCCAATGATAATATATATAATGTATTTAAAAAACGGTTGGGGATCACCAAATATTACATGCCAATCTGGTCGTTTGATGAAATTAATTTACTTTGGAATACTCTGTACAAGGAAACTTTAAGAGAAAAGAGCAACAAGTTCTCATTTGAAAAATTTGATACCCTGTTAAAGAGATGGGGACCGATACCTCGAACGGTTCTTCAAAATTGGAATAACAAGTCATATGTTGAGTCAGATTATAAAATATTGATCGGTGAGATCGATCTGGAACGTACATTGATTTCTTTTAGTGAAGAAGGCATGAATAAAAGTTCAGCAAGTGGCAGGCTTATCCACATACATGTGAAATCAGACTTTATTACTCCAAGATATTGTTTTGCCTCAAGAATGATAACTAGAGATATTATCGACAGGTATATACGCTACAATCAAATCAAATTTCGTCATTTATTAAAATGCACCGGTGGAGATAGTAAAGTTTCAGCATTCCGAGGTAGAATTTTCGAAGATTTTGCTCATCAACAGATACAAAAGGGTGGTGATTTTAGAATAAGGCTATTGACGAATGGAATGGTATCAATGAAAAATACTATAACTGAATATAAAAAAATCAGGAGTTATAAATTTAAAGAATTTTACACTTTAGAGGATACACGTAAAAATTATTATAATGTCCCAACTGCGCAGAATTTTGAATCTATTGATTCTTTTAGTTATGATGAAAATACCCTATTTTTATACCAAGTCACCGTCTCAATGAAACACAGTATCAAAGTAAGCAAAAAAATATCAACTTGTAAGTTAAGCTTATTACTTGCATACTAAACTTGTTGGTTTCTTTCATAGTTTAATGCACTAGATAAAATCAAAAAATTTTTAGATTGGGATAAAGATATTTACTTATATTTCGTAGTACCACCGGAAATCTTTTCTAGATTTCCTCCACAGAAGTATAAAAATTCTAAAGACGAGGATCGTCAGAAATTTCCTACATTGATTAATAAACTATCTCAATATGCCTTAGAGGTTCCAATTAATGTTATGATCGATGAGGATTTAAATATTGGTGATGAAAACCAAGATGATGAAAAGAGTAATAAGAGTTACGAAGAAAGTGATAATGTTGAAATGGTAGAGAGTGACGGGTAAAATGGTAATGAAATCAAAGTAGAAAAGTGGCATAGGAAAAAGGTAGAAATAGGTTAAAGTATGAACGAAATCTAATTAATAATATTACAATTAGTCATCGGATTATTTTTTAAAAAAAAAAATATATCGAGTCGACAGTTAAAAGTTAAAAATTTTTAAATTATAATTTAAATTTATAATTCGGATTGAAATTTTATTTACGTTGAATAAAAGTAAATGAAATTATGGTAAATCAACGATTGACATGAAACTTTGTTCAAAAATAGCCATCATGATAAGTTACTCTCAAGTTCTCAATAAAAAAGATATCTAACAAGAAAATAAATATTCAGTAATAGAAATCAAGGTATTTAATTTGTAGGAAAGTTAAACTTATAAAATTCTTCATGAACAGTTCGTTACAATTAACGCTGAACTAATAAATTTCTAATATCATGCTAATTCCGTCCTTATATTGAAAAGGTACCATTTAGTCAATAATTTTATGTTAACCTCCTTTATTTTAGAATAAGGTTCGATATGTTTTTTTTAAACACAATGATCATATTTTATATCACAACGGCAAAATACATAATCAGTATCTAAAATTAGAATTTATAGTAAAATACCGTACCGATGTTTTTGCATTCGGCAATTTATTTTTTTACAAAATGTAGTGCTACCGACTGATGACATAACTGTCAACTTGTGTGTGTCAAACTTGTTCAAAGTTTCAAATTATATTCTTATTTTTACACTCATAAAAAGAAAATTGATATCGATTGAATCTTATGAACCAAAGAATTTTACTCATTTAATAAAGATTCGTCGTAAAAAAATGAGTTGAAATCTTTGTTGATTGGGCCTATGAATTAAAAATGAAATTTTCAAATTTTTTTTTTAAACTTTAATCGAGGATCAAGATTTTTATTAATTAAATTGATATAATTTTAACGTACATTTGCGGAAAAGACCTTCGCGAAGAAAATCAGAAAGACGTGGAGTAGAATATCTTTCGAACTTCTCAAAATAATTTTGAACGGTCGCCACTTTTATAAAGACGATAGAAATCAAGATAAAGATCAAAGTTTAACACCTCCTCGAATATAATGTAATCAGACCAAATGAAGTTATTAATGTTGAAATTAATAGTTTACGAACATTAGTCGTAATTTCTTTTGTATAACTATCAACAAGAAAGGCTTAAATTTGTGAAATGAATGTCCGAAAATGGTACATATTATTCACTGATTAGCTTTATTTTGCCAGAATAAGAACTTGATTAGATTGATTCGATTGTTGGTATTGCTCGATTTAGAGTAGTTTCATCAGGAAGAGGTTACACAAGAATCACATTGGGGAATAAGAAATGTATCGATTCACAACTTGGCACTACAGGCAAATGGTTTTTGATTTTTCCGATTATCGTTAAAGAAACACGTTGAATTAAACGAATCTCTAGAAAATTACAATTTGGGCTAATGTCGAGCAATTAATAATTTATAAATAAGAATCAGCATCGTTCGCATCGTTCGGCTCTCTGTGAAAGGCCTTAAGACGAAGAGCATTTACCTAATCCTATCCTAATTGGATAACACATTTCTGCCAGCTCCTTAACTCGGACATTTCGGACCAAATAGATTTGAACGATATGGGCTTTTATGATATCATTTTATTAATTTTGACTTCGATTAATTGATATTTTTAAAGAAATACAGTGATGGATATTTTGGAAGGAGAGTTTGTTACTGACATAGTTAATCATCGAAAATTACTTTCAAGTCTTCCAAATTAGGCTCGATGCATAAACCGTTCATTTTCAATAATAAGTTACCTGAGGGTAATATTGATGATTTTATTACACAAAGGAGCATCATGCGCTATAATACTATTATTCATAATTAATGTAACAGATAGACAAACTAAAACAATTAATAATTGAAGAGATCTAAGTTGTTTACTTGAAAATTTGAAGTTAATAAATATGTGATAAAACTTGATAATGTCATTTTTGGTAATATGATCGATAAAATTTAGTAATTGAATTATTATATTGTAACTGGCATCCAAATGAGTTTTAAAATAATGTCTACGACAACAAAAAAAAGAATGGTGATGATGCATACACATTTAAGAAAGTATCTTCCATAGTATCTGAGAATACTGGTATCTCCACCACTCCAGAAGGGATGATTTACAGCAGCAAAACGTCTGATGACTTCTACGACATTACCAATTGGCCAAATATCACTGGCATGTGCTTCACGAATATGACTAATGTAAAATCAATTTGTGTTCGATATTTCTTATTCTATATGAGATATGTATCGGAATAAAGGACAGCTATATGATCCTCCAAGAAGAACGAAAGGTTGCCCTGCCTGAAAAAAATAAATGAAAGGACATTGTAGTTGGTAGACTATATTCTGTAAGCGTTGAAAGTGATAAAGACACCATCGGAAATTTGATGCTGCCATTCCTTCAGTGAGATCTCAAATATGAGCAATTTATTGCGAATATATAGTCGAGTGTTTCGAAATGCAGGATCATCTATATGATGAGAAAGAAAAGCCAAACGACGTAACATGACTTTAAAAATCAATATAAAAGGATAGTAATAAAGAAAAGGTGCGCTATAAACGTTCTCATCACCAGGACCCCGAAAAATACTAAAATAGGTAAGGTCCAGCCAAAAAAAAATTACTATTAGCTAAACGCATTTTTTTCAGGTCCGGAATCCTGATAATTCCAGTCAGTTACTATAAAAGGTAATAAACATCTGGCAAAATTATCAAATATATCTAAAAAAGGAAAGATTTACATGATAATTTTGGTTGTTTCGACGCTCTCACATATTTCAGAGCCCTCAACACCCATCGTAATATTTGAACAGCATCACAATCCACCCCGATATTAATAGATATTAGATAATAAATTAAAAATAAAAAAATAAAAAAAAATACCGGGTCTTAATTCCGAAGTATGCCAACCCGAAAATGGAAAATAAAAACTTAAATTAATTGCGACCAGATATGCTAAAAAACAAAATTTAAAAATAAATTAATGAAAAGATAAAAAAGTAAACTGAAATAATTTCTTGACAACGATATAACCAGACCAGAAAGAAGTTGCCTATAAAAAAAAAATAACAGTTACAAATAAAAGCCATAACAGAAGAAGATCGAGCTTATCCTCTTACATCCGAAAAAGAACCTACGAAAAAAGTATAAAATTGGAAAAATAGATAAATAAAATATAATTTACAAAAAAAATCTACCTAATCGCAAATTAAAAGTTAAATCGTATCGCTGCAGTCTTGAAGTTTCAAGGTGAAAAAAAAACCACCAGGAATGGGACCTAAAGATGAAAAGGGCTCAAATCTAATAAAATTTAGACAGAACTTAATTATTGATTCCAACACTATGTCTTTTTTGATTTAAATGGATGTTAATAGGCGATCAAAATTATCCGGCCAATTTGTTTTGGCAAAATTATGCAATTACTCATAAAATATATTTTTATTTATTTAAAATTATGATAAAACAAGTTCCAAATAAGTGGTTAGATCCTTTCTATCCATTATTATCCAATTCGTGAACAAGAGATAAGCCTTTAGAGATATCCGAATCTTTTCACATATTGTTCAAAATCTGTAAAATCTGGATATCTTGTATCTGACAGATATCCGGATAGACCCATCCACGGTCTAACAATGAGTCAACAAATTCTAATATTAAAGTTAAAGATGCATGAAAGAAAAATTGATCAAAAGTATGCCCTGGAGAATTAAGGTGATTATTACCGCAGATGAAAATAGAATAAATAATAAATTTTTTTCATTTTATTTTTGTAATATTTAATAATGAAGTTAATACAAATATATATTTCTTTATATTTATTTATTAATATATTATTTATATTCAATTTTTTTCAGTTTGAAAAGTGACCGGATAATTTTGATCGCACTCTGCAGTGTGAAGCCATCCATTGAACTAACTATCAATTTCTTATTTTATTGAATTCTTAAACAATTACTTGCTTGCGAATTTAAATTGTCTAGTTGTAGCTACATGTTCCGATTAAAAATCACACATTGAAATTGTGCTTTATTCCATATTTACTGTTAAAAATATTCTTGAAGCCTTTTTTTGTTATTGCGCATTTCTAGGTTGTAAAGGGTTTATATTCTCAATTGATTTTATAAATAATAGCGTAATAATAATCTCAAACAACGTAAATAAAGTATTACCTCAATCGTCGGCTCTCTGCATATTGGCCTGAGGACAAATTTTAGGAAACGTTGTCCCGAAAATGATAAAAATATTTTTTTAGTAATCAGGCAGCAGATAAATGATCTGATAACTTGCGGTGTTCATGCTCGAATATGGGGTGAGTGCTGGGAAAATGGACCAAATTGATTTTTTTTTTAAAAAAAAGTTTCTAAGTAAAATAGATGTAGATTTGGTCATCTGATTCAGATCATTTGTTATTTCAAAAAAAAATTTTTTGTCGATTTGGTCCCTTTTCCCAGTACTCACCCCATATGGATCATGTAAAAATCATTTGTGCTCGATATTTATTATATAAATCATTAAGCACATGAAAATATGTATCGATATAAAGGACAGGTATATGATCCTCGAACGAGAAGTCGTCCAGACTGAAAAAGTGAATGAGAAGATATTGTAGCATAAATATATTTTCTGTAAGCGCTAAAGGTGAAAGGTGATAAAAGAACCATTAGAAAATTTGATGCTAGCAATCCTTTAGAGCAAAGTTGTTACGATCATCTGAATTGTGAGAAAGAAGCCAAATGAAAGTAACAAAATTAAAACGATAGTGAGTACAATAAAGAAAAGTTGCGCTATGAATATTTCTCATCATTCATCTTGATGAAGCATTCGTAATAATTGAACAGCCTCATCAGAGTTGCCAGATTCTCGATCCAACATATGCTGCATCTGGTCAGTGACATCCAACTCATGTCAGATACTGGTTATTCCAAACCTTATAATATTATTTTTATTTTAGGTGACATTCTTTCTCACGTACTGTACCAAAGCTTATATTACCTCCTATTTTCGTAAGAAAAGCAATTAATGTAATTTATGCGATATAGCGAAAGAATAATGGTATATCAATTTTAAATAGAATAAATCAAGATTTTATTTATTTAAATAAAGATAATATTTTTTTTTGTAAAATGATAAAAGAATACAATAAATGCACTATTACTGCCTCTGCCTGCGCTCTGTAATAGGCCCAAAAAGAACTATCTTAATCAAAGGATGACGAAAATGTCAATTAATTCCCTGATGTCAAAAGAGGTCATTTTGACATATTTCTTCCATCTTGCCAAGGAATCCTAAAGGTCCGAAAAGTCAATTCCAACAGATCCGACAGAATTAACATATATCGTCATATCCGAGGTGATCAAATTTTGGCGCAGTCAAAACACTTACATTGCCACAATATTCATAAGTACTAATAGCTTGCGAACACACTTCAGACGTTTGTATATGTTGCGTGCGTGGTGCAGTGCATCAAACTCTTTGTAGAAACTTGTATCATGAACATTTCACCTCGAAGAACTTTTACAAGATCCAATATGGATACTTTTTGACTTGATAGAGTTTTTACTTCTGTCAATTGCTTTTCATCAATAATTAGACCTAATTTATAATATTCGATCAGTTTTCCAATGGTATGGATCGTATCGATAACATAAAGGCGTGCCCGATTTTTCTTGAACAATTTATCAAATATTTGGAAACCTTAATCCTGTTTTTTTTTAAAATATAAGATACAAAGTAGACTCTTCTTGAATATTATGATATAAAGTATGCCTATCTGAAAATCGTTTATAATTGAATAAAAGACGTTGTCGATACAGAGACATGCCCTCTTTATCATTTTCACTTTTATCTTTCTGAACTTAAGATGCCATGTAGCTTCTGCTTTTATATTAATGGTTTGATCATCCCTCAGATATTTGCCATCAGAACAAAGTCGTTGTTGGACAAAAAAAAAATACCTTCATCATATTTTTAAAGTCGTATATTGTGTGTCATTCCCGGTTATTTACAGTTTAGACTTGATCTGTAAAAATCCTTGTTATGATAGCTGCCGATGGAGTGTTGATTCAATCTGAGCTTGTGATATCAATTCATTCTGTTCTGATTTAAAAGCTGGCTGTGTATGATTACTGTATTCATAAAAAAAAAAAAAAATAAAAAGCCACGTGTAAAATTTTACAAGTGACACCTACTCTGACTCCTAGCTTTCATCACTCTCTATATATTTGCCATTGTATAAAAAGATCATATAGTATTTATTCTGTACACAAGATAGAAGCTTTTACAATAAAGCTCTATTAGTATGCAATGTTACATATGGAGCCTGTGTATAAATAAAACTGATAGGAGGATTTGCAAGCAGGTGCATTTTTTTTGAGAAAAAAATTCAGTCGTAAAATTTTAAAAAATTTTCACAGCATTATTTAGGAGCAGTTCGGGCTTTGGGCGTAAAGAATCGACACAAATTAAAAATTTAATTGGAGCCCGGAAAATCCTCTGTAATATTACAATTGAATAATTTCAATGTAACGTGGAGATTTATTGATAAAAGCTTCCATATTTTCAAATATTTCGATTAAATTGATTTTGAATTTATGAAGTATTTCAAATTAATACTTTAATTAATTCGTGTGAAAGTAAAAATAATCTCTGAAGATCTTATGACGCATAACCTTTTTACCTATCATTATTTATTTTCATTTTTATAATTTTAATGTTATGATAAAATTAATTATTTAATTTTCGATATACCACACATACAGAATTTTATTTTTAAATAAAATATTTAATTTTGTTTGCATCTTTTATGGCGAAAGATATTGACATTCTCGGCAGGTGGCAAAATAGTAATAAATTTTGACGCTTTTCCATAATTTTTTTAAGGCAAAACCGCAAATGTTTCGATGATTGGATGGGTGACAAAACTTTCGACGAGCAATTAACTAATGCTTTCGTCAATATTAAACCAATTATAGTATTTAATCATTTCAATACAATCTTTTTATACAATCTTTTGAAAATTTGCAAAATTTTTATTGGAATTTTTAAATCTAGAATGTCAAAAATAAGAAATTTCATTTATCTAATTTTTTACAAACTCTACTTATATTGGTCAATATTGCGACCCTAATTTATTACAATTCACGTAAAAATGCAATCATCTCGAAATAAAATTTTACTATTTAGATTTAATTATTAACAACTTAACTTTTTATTTTTTATTTATTTTTTTTTTTTTATGAGAATTTAAAACTAGACTAAGCTATTGATCTAAAATAATTTTCTTACATAATTTGAATAATGTTATTTTAAACGTTAAGTATTATCATAAATTTACGAATATTTCTAATAAATTACAGTATTTTATTAAAAAAATGTTTCGCAACTTGGTATTAGCCAATTTGCACTTGCACCTCATTTTCACCATTAATATTTTCATGAAGAGTATTATTAATAAATACGATAATAAAATGTGTTATAATTTTTATTGCGTATACGTTGATTGAATTGCGTTGAAATTCTCTCAATTTTAGTATCGCTATTCGAGCGAAATATCCAAATAGTTGGATTTTATATCGTATAAATTAAAGGTACAGTAAATTACAATTAATATGAAAATTCGAAGTTAAAAAATAACAAACACAAATTCTCCTTTTATAAAATTTTTTTATAGAATATATCGAATCAAGAGGATATATTCAAAATATATATCACTACTAAAAAAAATTCTTTCGAATATAAAAGGATAGAAATCCTAGGTTTTGATAGGCTCTTTACCAATTTATCCGCGCTGATATTGCGGAGAAAGATAGCTGTTTAAAGACTGTGATTTCCAAAGGGTCATACTTATACTCTCCAGAAAACGATAACTATAATAGACATTAAATCATTATAAGTTATTTTAAATTTTCAACGAAAAATTAAAGATGTGGTAATTAATTAAAACTGCAAAAATTTAAAATAATAAATTTTATGATTCACTAGATGATAATTTATTTATCACAGGCTTCTTGTTGCCGTATGCATCTGCATACCAATTCAATGAATTTGAAGACGTTATTGCTGATTTATATAGATCCACTCTCGGTTGAATTTGTGAATGATCAGTCTTTGAATTGGCTGTTTATAGTTTCAGATGACTATAATGATATGCTGTTGTACTTATTCCCTCAGAAGCTGGTTGTATTGGAATTCTTTTGGTAAATTATTGCGTAATTCTTTGTACTGTTGCGTTAATTTTAATCATCTCAGGCAACATGTCGAGAATAAAGTGTTTTTTGAAATATTATTTACTTAACTTATATGGACAGAACAAAAAACCTTGGATGTGTAGAAGGGAAATTGGTAGCACTACATTAATAAATTTTGGATAAAGTCAAACAATATATTTGACGTGTGGAGTTGTGTACCAAAATAAACTAATAAATAAAGAACCGAAGGCTTCTGATATAATATCAAAACGTTTTACTTATTATTACGAGGAAGTTTAAGACAAATATATTATTGCTTAGAATTTTTTGTTTAAAACTATGTATGATTAATACAAATATCCACAATAGTAATCAAAACCTGAGGTGCTCCATTATCTGGAAAATTCTTCGAAATGAAAAAAAAAAGTTTTAAGAAAATTGAAGATAGAAATCCAATGAAAAATAATTTGTCAGATAAGTGAATCTATTGATGTATGTAGTAAACATAATATCAGATGACAATTCAAAACCATTCTAGTAAGGTTTATTGGTATTGTATTTTATTAAAAGACTTGAGGTTTACCGATCCATTTATTCCAGAAATAAATCATTCCCATACCCAAAATGTTATATTTATCACTAAATAATTTATAAGTTTTAATGATAAATTCATGATTTCGCTAAAATAGGTTTACTAAATTACACATTTCTCAATCGTCTTCATCTGTATTCTTTGTTAAAATTATCTTATTTTTAGGTAATTTACCAATAAAAACTTCACCAATTTCAGGATAACCTGTATTCCTTTTAATAATTTTTTTAATTTTCTTACAATTTGACAAATCCAAAGAAACCAATTCGTTATTATTATAGCATGAAAAACTTTCTAAAGAATTAGGTAAAGTTGGAAAGCTAGCTATTTGTGTATCATTGCAGTAGAGACTTTTTAAGGAGTTGGGTAAAGTTGGCAAGCTAGTTATTGGAGTTTCATAGCAATATAGTTTTATTAAGGAGGTAGGTAAAGTTGGAAAACTAGTTATTTGAGAATTGTTACAATAAAGTGTTGTTAAAGAGCTAGGTAAAGTTGATAAGCTATTTATTTGTGTAAATGAGAAAGAGAGTTCCTTTAAAGAGTTAGGTAAGGTTGGCAAACTCGTTATTTGCGTATTATGGCAATTGAGTATTTTTAAGGAGCTGGATAAAGTTGGTAAACTAGTTATTGGAGTTCTATAGCAATGAAGTTCATTTAAGGAGTTAGGCAAAGTCGGTAGGCTATTTATTTGAGTTTCAAAACACCAGAGTTTTGTTAAGGAATTGGGTAAAGCTGGTAAGATAGTTATTTTGGTCCTATAGATGTGAAGTTCTTTTAAGGAACTAGGTAAAATTGGTAGGCTATTTATTGGAGTTTCAGAACACTTTAGTGTTTTTAAGAAGTTTGGTAATGTTGGTAAGCTGATTATTTTTGTTTTATTGCAATAGAGTTCAGTCAAGGAGTTAGGTAAAGCTGGTAACCTAGTTATTTGAGAATTGGTACAATCGAGTTTTGTCAATTTACGATATCTTTGTAATCCACCTGAGATGTTTAATATGTCATCCTTATTAGTATCTGTAATAGTTAAACTATCTATAGTTTCATAAGAAATGGTTAATTCAAGATTACTGATCCTTCCTTCTAATTTATTAATAATTTCTTGATTGAATTCTTCTCGTTCCCTAAACTTTTCTTCTAAATGATTAATAGTTTCTTGTTTAGCTTTGGTCTCTTCTTCTTGATCTCTAACCTTTTCTTCTAAATATTCGAATTGTAAACGTAAGCCTTCATTATTTTTCTCTAGATCCATTATTCTAGTTTCCAAGTCTTTTAGGGTTTTTTCTATATTGTTCTTTATAACCATTTTTGCGATTAAATCTCAAAATTTTAATTTAATATGGTGATTATTAGAATAGGAATGTACAAAGGCGTATTTTATTTAAATTTTTTATTATTGTGCTTACATGCAATGAAAGAAAGGGTTTTTAAATTTTTTATTTCTTCAGCCCTCGGTTTAAATATTTCCCATATGTAATGAATTTCCATAAATGCTCTGGTGTGCGCAGATGTTTTTAAGTCAGTACATAACTGGTTCTACATTGGATCGTCGGTAACATTTCTTGCCCAAATAGAGTTAGTAAATTTTGACTAATTAAGTGAAATGAAATAGTCATAAAATGTTCAAAAGATATGACATGAAGCGATAGGTGCTTATTCGCAAAGGGATTAAATTATTAGCTAATCAAGTTGAAATTTCTCACGTCAAAAATAATAAAATTTTCAGATAATATTATGATTATATAAAATTAAATAAAAATGCATAATTACCGTAACGATACGACATTTCGTCGATCATTTAATATTGTTAATATGGGAATTCAAAGATTTTTATCCTTGAACATGAAAAATGTCAAGTAGGATCATCTTAAATTATAAACAAAAAAAAATATCCAGAAAACTTGAAACGCCTTAACGTTAGTACATATTTCCGAAGCGACGTAACTTTAAGTAGTTGGACTTTTCTTTTTCATAAAGCAATGACCATTATTTCAATTGCAATATAATAAGAAATTATTATTTATATTTATTAAGTTCATTTTAATTATTGATGTTATCTTTGCTCTGTTCTTAAAGAAGAGCATTGCCCATTGTATTGAACCATGTAATTTTGCAAAATTTTGAAGGTCCCCGTACAGTAGTAGTCAGAAAATCTTTTGTGGCTGTAACCTTGTCAATTGTTTTATATGGCAGGCTCCATCACTTCAAACCTTTATAAAACCATAGTTTTGCGAAAATATCATCATGAATGAATCAAATTTCAAGAACTACATATTGAGGAACTAATAAAATTGCAACTCCACCTTTTTTTCTCAATTGGATAATATTATGACTATGATGGCAATATTGTTCACTATCCGTTGTGCTAGTAATTTACTCACTAATATATTTAAAAGGAAGTTTTATGAGAAATACTTCATAATAGGAATAAAAAGTCAAGATGGCTGGATTCAGAATGTAAAGTATTTTTTTGTATAACAAAAGAAGACTTGGATCTGACGATTATAACGCATTAGATTTAATATTTTTAAGGGTTAGTAATTTTCCCATCCATTAAAACAAATTTAAGACCCATTTACTTCTTGATGTTGAGTAATATCACGGATTTCTTGAAACAATCTTAGATCGTCATTATCAATACGTTTATCAATATAGAAAAAAAATATCATGACTCGTTTAACGGAACGTTGAACATTGGATAAATCTATGGACAAAACGTAATGTATTAAATTTTAAGTAAGTATCGAGACGTTATGTTAAAAATAATTTTAACCTTTAGCGGTGTTCCGAAATAGTCGGGTCTTTTAAGGCCCGAACCCGACCCGATTGACCATGGTGTTACTATAATGAAGGATCGTGTAATTTAAACTTTCGAATTAATTACAAAATTTTATCACAATCACTCCTGTATGAAGACATGGCAAAGGTATTATAATTATAAATGAATAACAATATCTTTATTGTACTCTTAGTTGTTTCTCAAAACCATATCTCGAGTTATCCGTAAATTTATATGGATCTTATGCTGGATATGACCACGTTCGTTGTCATATTTGTCGTAATCAGCCGCATTCATAGCTCACGGCTTTCACTGCCAATTTTATACGGTGTACTTCAAATCTGCATATGGATGCTAGGAAAATCGGGTTCTAAGAATTTTTAAGTTCTATTGTTTTGATGTGATGATTTTAGATTAAAAATGTAATAAGTAAGAATATAATATTAGTCTTAAAGGTGATTTTCCTAGCAATCTTCCCTGAAATTATTATTCTGTCAGGTTATACCATAAATCTGAGTCGTATTATTGCGTTAACAGGACCCGGAATACTAAAAAATAATTACTATTCTATTAGCTGTACGCATTTTTTCAGGGCCGGAATTATTATAATTCCAGTCAATTACGATAAAAGACATCTGGCCAACATTATCAAAAATATCTAAAAAAGGAAAAATTTACAAGATTATTTTGGGCTCAGTATTGTTTGGGTCCTGCAATAACCCGGCGGCATTACTATTACAATCGACGGTGACGTTAAAGATGGTTGCTCGGACCTTCAGACTTGTCATATTCTAACTGGCTTTTAAAAAAAAACCCCCCCAAATTTTGAGAATTATGAAGAATACGTAAAAGAGAGAATACATTCTTGTTATTCCATATGAAGTTACGGATAACTGGGTGGGTTTATGCATGGGTTATATAATAATCACATGGATTACGCGCATTTATTATATCTACATCCCGTAAATATCCTAGTTATCCTTCACATATATGTAATAACAAGAATTATAGACTCGCAGCATCACGTGAATGAAGTACACTTTACGAAATTTGGCAATTACCATAGTGGTGAACGGATTGGGTTCACAAGCTTAAAAAACAATTTTTTCAGCATTTAATTGTTTCTTTTATTTTAACCGGTTAAAGAAAAGATTTAACTAGTAATTATTTTTAGGACCTTGCTTTTATATATATATGTAAATATTTTTTTTATTACTTTTTTTTTATTTTTTTAAAAAAAAAAACTGCCGATACGATAAAGACTCACAAATAAAATAGTTGTTTCCAAAATTTTCATTAAATGAATATTATTACTTCTTATTTTCGAAAGAACCAGGAAGTAAAGGAAGAACCAAAACCTTCGAATGAAGAGCAATCGAGCCAGTTTAACATCAATGTGCCAGTTATACTCTTAATTGGAAAAACGGGTATGCATAAAATGCCACTTCCTTCGAATTATTTCATTAAGCATTCATTGTTTACTTAGGTGCCGGTAAGAGTACATTGGGAAATCATTTATTAAAGTTCTCTGGTGAACGATCCATATTTGAGACCTCCGGAAGTTTTGTAAGCATATAAAATATCGATAAAAATTTTAAATTCTATTTAACTAAATCTACATTTAATATGTACATATGAAACCCTCAAATTTTGTAGAGTTCGTGCACAAGCCAATCTAACTCTGCGGTTTACAAAATTCGCGACAAAACTTACATCATCATTGACACGCCTGGGATTTTTGACACCAACAGGCCCAATGAAGATGTCCTGGATGAAATTTCGCGCACCGTACAAAAATGTGCCTATGGGATCAGAGCCATACTATTTGTTTTTGGTGAGTAAGTTATTTCAAGTCAAATTGAGTTAAATCTGTGATTAACTTTACTGTGTTGTTAACAGAAGCAAAAAGGTTAACGGATGAGCAAAAAAACGTGATCGATGGGATTTCGACGTTTTTCGGGGAAGAGGCCTTTCTATACATGGTTTCTGTTTTTTCGAATTGTAAAAAGTTGAGTACAGAAAACTCCGAAGAATTCAAAAAGTCTTGGAACGTAGAGGTTCGCATGTTTGTCAATCGCATGGGTTATCGGTGGGCCATTTCTCCGAATCCAGACATCTTTCCTCCTGGAACTCACATACACGCAAAATGTCTAGAAAATTTAGAAAATACTATTAATTCCCTTGATGGTGTGTATACAAATGAACTTCTTGAAAAGACACGAAAAGTACAAGAAGATCGTGCGCGGATTGCAAGGGAAGAAAATGAAAGACGACAAAAAGAATATGATGAAATTAAAATAACTGAAGGTAAAGCCAAGGCAGAAGCAGAATACATGAAACGGAAGAATGAAGATGATGAAAGAGCACGTATTGCAAATGAAAAACAATTCAATGAACTTAAAAATTTCTTAATGAATAAAATTAATGATCTAGAACGTAAAAAAGGAGGAGGTTGTTTCTGGCTTGAAACCCGAGTTAAGCTGGAATCAGGAAGAGTCATTCGAATGTCAGAACTCCAAGTAGGAGATCGAGTATTATCAAACATTAAAAATGGTTTCGAAGAGTTCTCAGAAGTTTATCTTATTGCTCACGTTGGTAAGTTCGATCATGAAGAAAAGTTTACCAAAGTTGGCTTCACCAAACCAAACGGCTTTAAAGGTCTATTTCAAATTATTTATCAGTTTGAATTACTAAATATCTCAAATTAAACAGTCGCTATTAATTATAGGTCATTTACAGCTCACAACCACTCATTATGTATTTAATGAAAATTTATCTATAATGTTTGCCAAAGATTTGCAACCAGGAAAAACCAGGATTTTGGTTTCCGACGGTAATAATAAGCTAGTTCCTGTCATTGTAGATGATATAACGATCGTGAGTTTAATCCAAATTAATTTCTTATTCAATTTCTAAAAATTTTCTGATATATACTTATCTTAATTTAATTCTTTTTATAATTATAGGAATGGAATGATGAATATATTAGTTTCTACACTCGGGCTGGAACAGTTATTGCTGAAGGTGTATTAAGTTCTTGCTATGACGATTGTCCGCCGTCTCAGTCGCTCATGGATCTAATTTTTTTGCCAGTTCGCTGGTGGACCGTTTTCAAACCAAGCACGCATCGTGAAAAGCGCCTTCATCCTTATGTTCAGTTCTTGGAAACGACTTATTTTTATTTTTTCAATTTTATGGCCCGTTTTTAATTGTGAAATAGTTTTGATATACTTGTTTTCATTATACACTTTATAGGATAATAAACCGTGATTAATTTGTAAATTCGGGACTTTTTTATTATTATTAGATAATGTTCTATCATGTCAGATAATAGTCTGGTTTCGATATAACAAACCCTTGATATAAGAATCAGTTTTTTTTTAGAAATCACTTAAAAAAGCTTGATATACCCATATACTTTAATACTTTAACATATACAAAACAGTAAAATAATGTTGTTATACGAAATGGTCACGTGATAGATTATAGCTTTATATCTTTCTTTAACCGAAATTATAAATCAAATAAGAAATTAGATAATGAAGCGGCAGCATTGAAAAAAGGAAAGGTTTTATTTTTAACAATACGGGAACATCATCATCGTAAATTGATCACAATACTACTTTTTGTATTATAAACCCTTAAAGAGAATAAAAGGCGTCAGAATATTCAAATGCAAAAAAATAACAAACATTTATCATCATCTAATGCTTTTTTACAATATCAATATATATTTTATTTATTCTTTTTGAAAAGTTTGTGTGTGAGAATGTTATCTAAAAAATTTTTGAATTTTTTATTTATATTCAAAAAAATTACAAAAATATTAAATAAAGCTTCTTTATAAATTGTTGCTGTCTCAAATAAAGGTTTGTTGCAATTATAAATTACTTGTTAAATTGTTAAAGGAACTGGAGTGAAGTTCTGCGAGCTAGTTTGTTATTTTTTTATTGAAAATTGAAATTGATAGAAATACTGTGATATTTATTTAAATTGATCGTAATGCTTGACCTCAATCATTAGCCAATCACATTGCCTCATCTGCGATTTAACTAAAAAGTCAAAAGGCTAGAAAAATGGTAATATTATACAAGCGATCGAAGTTGCAAATTAACTAAAAAGAAAAAATATATATTTTTACCTATCATTCAATCTAAAAAACTAAAAAAAAAAAAATTTTAAAAAGATTGAAACGACTAAAAAATTACTTACAAATCAATCGATGCAGTAAAGAAAACTTGCCAATCATTTAAAGACGTAAAATGTTATCGTAATTAAAGAAATTTAAAAATAAAAAAAATTAAAATCCTTAAATGAGAGACATATTTTGCCGATAAATTCATATTACTAGATAAGAAACAATAGCTTTAAAACACGGATCTTTTCTACACATTTACAAAATTTAATTAAATATACACAAATATTTATAATTTAATATTAAATTGACTAATTAGCGACCGTTTAATCAACCTAATCTAGTTAATTATATAAAAAGGATAAATTATTATTTTACAAAAACTTTTCAAACATTTAATCTTGATTTGATACAAAAGATACTAATTAAATGTTAAAAACATTATAAATTTTTTATAAGATTTTTGTTAAATAATCGCTATTGATAAATTAATTTAAATATAATTGCAAATTACTGTATAAATGGGGTGAGTGCTGGGAAAAAGGACCAAATCGACAAAAAATTTTTTTTTTGAAATAACAAATGATCTGAATCAGATGACCAAATCTACATCTATTTTA